AACTGCTGTGAAACAGGCCAGATATTGGACTAGACACCAGAGATCTGAAAATATGCAGGACCTGGTCTATACATGCAAGAAACCACAGCTGGCGGGCCAGTATCTACCCAGAAATAACTATTTCAATTCACCCTGACACCTAGGTCAGCACAGCTGCCACTATACTTAAATCCTAAAGTTACCGATCTACCGATCTACAAAAGCTTTACTAAGCTTATGCACTAAAATCCCTCTGGCCAGCCAAGTGATGTGAAAAGAGCCTGGAGAGACAGAGAGAGCCCACACCAGTGCTTTCCCTTTGGTGTAGGTGTTGTGCTTCCACAGGCCAACATATGGCTTCATCGTATAATTTTTTCAAGGAACAGTAGTTGATTTGGGAAGATGATTTGTGACTTGTGAACTTGATAAATGCTATGCCTCCAAAGAAAGGGAAAGGAAGGGGAAATGAAGGCATTCGCAGTTTTACATTGAGAACAGATGTATGGTTACACCTACTTGTGAAGTAAATACTGAGGAGCTGTGTGTCAGGGTTAGGCTTAGGGAAAATGGCACGTGAACATCTGAACAGGCTTGGGTCTTAGGCAGGTCTCGGCTCAAACACCAGCACTGTGCTACTAGCTCAGAAAGCCTAAATAGTTTAGACAAGTTCTTCAACTTACTCCATGCTTTTGAAAAGAGGTACAGTACATATGGTGAGACTTAAAATATTTCTACCCTTGCATCGAGAATGCCTCTAAGTTCTTTCAAGGGAATTAATTAAACAAAAGGAAAACCAGAAACAAAAAGAAAACTGAAATAACTCTAGAAGGGCATGATTTCATAAAGTATGGTACATAATTTCATAGAAAAGGATGAAGCTATTTATCACTGTTAATATGAACCACATACAGAAATATGAGAATTGGTTGATTCAGTCTAAAAGATTATAAAAGAACTGCAATTAAAATACATTCAGATTATGGAAAATATTGATGCAGGTTAACAAATCACAGGAGACACTGAAAAAATTCTAAATAATCGTGTCGAGATGAAAAGATTATGGGTGGTTATTTTCCCTTTTGAAACTGAGGTTTTTGCAACTGAAGGAAGAAAAAGTCATAGGGCAACAGATTGAGGCCATCTAAGATTTTCTCTGTCACACTGAAACACTGAGATTTAAGATAATACAAAATCTGAAAGAAAATGTCAAGTTAAACAAGATGATAAGATTATGAGAGAAAAGGCAGTCTGAAACAGTGGAAAGACCACATGGTCTTTGGAGGAAGCCAGGCTTGGTGGCAAACAGCTTAATAACCCACAGCCCCAGCTAGCTCATCTGCACAACCAGGAAAGCAGAGCCACCATTTTAGATTGTTATATGTTTTGAAAAAATATACATGTTACGTTATGTATGTACAACGTATGTTACATTACTGTATCTAATGAATCAAAGGCTATTATTTTTGGAGAGTACCTGTAAAAATAAATAGGAAAAGCATGTATGTTAATGGGGAAAAAAACATTAGAAGGTATTACAATTATATAAGTTAATACCCATAAATATATTAATTTAATAAATAAGGAACCAACATGTTCACCGAAAGAGATCAAATATTAGAAAAAATCCTGTCGTGTTAAATTTAAATAGGAAATGTCATTATGAAGTTTTGATTTTTTTTTTAAGTATATGTCTCCGTTCTTTCCACTGAGAAGCCAGACAAATAGTAACAACCTAGTAACGATAAGCCAGTGCCCAGCTTTCTGTTTCTAAGGACCGTTCCTAACCTAAAATCACCAAGACAGGACGTCTTCAAGAAGAGTGATTTCCAGGTTAGAGGAAGGAAATACCCACAGTGAGCGTGGAACATCTTACTTGCCTGAAGCAAGGAGCACTCACAGGCACTGGAGTTAGACTGAAGGGGCTCCCCCTGCCCACACTGGGACAAGCTGAGCATCCACAAGAATAACAGTTAAATTATAATTCATTGAATTTAAAATAAAAACTTCCAGGACTTTACACTGATATAAAGAGAGAAAGAAAACAGGGTGGAGGGAAGAAAGCTTTCTCTTAACAAAGAATGCTAGACAATAAATACAGGAGAAATGACAAAATTAGTAAAATCACCACTTGTCTTTCAGGGCGCCTAGGTGGCTCAGCCAGTTAAGCGTCTTCCTTCAGCTCAGGTCATGATCCCAGGGTCCTGGGATGGAGCCCTGTGTTGGCTCCCTGCTCAGCAGGGGAGTCTGCTTCTCCCTCTGCTTCTGCCCTTCCCCCTGCTCATGTGTTCTCTCTCTAATAAATAAATAGAATCTTTTAAAGATCACCACTTTTCAAACCGCAACATAATAACTAATTCAGGAAAGAATCATCATCGATGCTAACACTAGTGGATGAAAAGTTGCTGGGAGACAGGATATGCACATGGTCTCAGGATCTATTTACTAATTACAAACAAAAATGATCTCTGTACAATCTAGGGGATGCCACCTTAACCAACTGATCAAACTTCCCATCACCAATGCTGTGACAACATGCCTCCTGAGGAGGTACAATAGGTAGTACAGAATCACTCCTAACCTGCACCAAAAACTTTAACATGAATCCAGGCCTGAAAAAGCAATCAGACGAGTCCAGTATTGTGGGACTTTCAATAAAATAACTGGCCTGGGTTTTAAAAGTCAGTATCATGAAAAAAAAAAAAAAAAAAAAACACTAGAAGGGTCGTTCTAGATTAAAAGAGATATAACAACTAAATATAATAAAAGAACCTTGACTGGATCCTAGATTTAAAAACAAAAAAACCAAAAATGAGCAATGAGCCATTTGAGGCTGGGGGCAGGTGGAAAGAGCCAGTATGTTAGAATACGGACCAGAAATTAGAAGATACTTCACAGCACTCTTAATTCTCCTAAGGAAGATAATGGTATGGCGGTTATGTAGGAGAGTGTTCTTATTCTTAGAAGATAAATGCCAAACCATCATGACGTCTACAGTTTATAATTAAATAGCTCAGCCAAAAAAGAAAACGATGTGTATGCATATATTTGTATATAGAAAGCATGTGTGTAAAAAGAGAAGACAAATGTGACAAATTTGTTAACAACTAGTCAATCTAGGTGCAGAGCATGCTTTGTTCATCATATTCTTTATAGGTGTTCATTATATTCTTTCAATGTTTCTGTAATTTAAAGAATTTTTAAGCTATCAAGTAAGAAAAAAAAATGAATCTTAAACCTTGAATCAGACCATTCTTGTTGTATGTGAGCTTGGTCACACTTCCTACGAATCATGAACACAAGGCATGTGAAAGCAACCAAATTACCGCCCCCCCCCCCGCAAATACATCTGGGGAATAAATCTATGCTCTATCTAGCTTTTGCTTCAATGGACTAGTGTGAAATATACATCAGCCTCTCCAAGCACTACCCAGCAGAGGCCCTGTGAGGGAATGATCGCCTGCTCATACATTACACACAGTTTCCCACCAAGCAAAATATGCTGTGTTGGGGTGGAGACAGAAAACAGAAGTAACCCAAATAACCTCTGTCAGAATAATAAACAGAGAAGGCATGATCCAGCAACTCTCCGGGATGTTATTGTAAGTATCACAGCCAATATCCATCCCTCTCCCTCCTATCTGCAAGACCTTCATTTTAGAGGAGATTACTTCGATGGAAGATGGGACCACAGGCGCATAAATAAGAAAAGGGAAATGCTGGTAAAAACTGAAAGCATTTGCAATACATCAACAAATTTTACTATAGTTGTATCTTAACCAGCGCATGTGGGAAAAATCAGACAGGTGACAAACACAGAAGGCCCAGAGTAGAGAACGCCACTCCGGAACAGCAGGTAACTGCAATCTACGGAAGGGGGTGCTGACAGGTAGAGCAAGGGTAGGAGGCTGGGTCTACCACAGTTAATATGGAGAAGGCCAGTTCTTGGACATGGTACTTGGCTATTAGGGGACATTGGTATTTGTATTACCAAGAGTGTGGGTCTCAATATTCCACACTTAATGGTAAAAGCCAACTGCAATCTTAAACAGCTTAGGAAAAACTCATTTTTTAAATTTGACAACACTGGTAAGGGAAAAAAAAAAATACAAAGGCATTCAGCAAAGCGTCAGTCTCTTCCAGCTTGGGTAGAATGCCCTTCTTAGTGATTTGGAACCATCATATTATTCTGTCAGATTCATACTATTTAATCATATGGAAGATTTCAAAAGTTATTTGAGCAGAGGGAAAGACCATAGAAAAGTTACGTTCGTAGAGCTATATTTTACATTTACTCACAATTTTTACAGTTCCCTTGAAAAATACCAATATATGTATAAATATTCTAGTAGATCTTATACCACTCATCGACTACAATAAGTCTCTGAAACTATAAGAAGTTCTTTACTGTCAAAAAATACAGGGCGCCTGGGTGGCTCAGTTGGTTAAGCGACTGCCTTCGGCTCGGGTCATGATCCTGGAGTCCCGGGATCGAGTCCCACGTCGGGCTCCCTGCTCAGCAGGGAGTCTGCTTCTCCCTCTGACCCTCTCCCCTCTCGTGCTCTCTATCTCATTCTCTCTCTCAAATGAATAAAAAAAAAAATCTTTAAAAAAAAAAAAGGAAAAAAAAAATACACACATAGGGGTGCCTGGGTGGCTCAATCGATTAAGTATCCGACTCCTGATTTCGGCTCAGGTCATGGGATGTGAGATAGAGCCCCATGTAGGGCTTTGTGCTCAGCGCAGAGTCTGCTTGAAATTCTCTCCTTCCCTCTCCCTCTGCCCCTCCCCCCCAAGAGTGCTCTTTCTCTCTCCCTAAATAAAGTCTTAAAAAAATACACACATAGAATCCCCAACTGTGATAAGGAAATGTTAAAGGTATTATTCCTAAAATAATGAATTAATTGTAACAGGTAGAGAAAATGCTCGAGATGGAAAAGTATTCATTGACTTCCTAATCTTTAAAGCAACAGAAAGCTATTTCAAACAAAAAAATTAAATGAGGTAATTAAAAACAAACATACCCATCTTTGGTCTGATCCACTACACCACTTAAAAGCTCCACAGTCTTTGGATTAGGCTGGCTTTCTCCAAAAATGTTCAAATATCGAGTGACAAAGTCATTGGGAGACATGAAAAACTCACCATTTTTTTCAATGCTTGCATACTGTTTAGAAAAAAAAAAAGAGAAAAGATATTTTACCCTCAAAAGTATATAATCATGGGATCAATGTGAAAAAGCTGAAAATATTCAAAGGATAAAACATCAGATATGATAATACACTCTTCTCAAGCACAGTTATTTCCCAACACCTCATAAAAAAAACAAAAACATGTTAAGTGTGCCAAGTTTTATGTTTATACCAGTGGTTCTCAGGTTCTCAACTGCAGGCAGCTTAGCCTGATTGTCCAGCTTATAAACACCAACATCCCCTAACAGCCAAGTACAACCTAAGAGGCCCAGCCTTCTCTCTAGGTTTCCTGCCTTTCAGGGATGGGGGGAGGGGTGGGCGAGGTTTCTCTAGCCCTGCACTTCCTCCGTTTGTATTTATTTTTCCCCACAGAGGACATCTGACAGTGTCTGATGACAAATTTGACTGTCATAACCTGCGGGGGAGGGACGCTACTAGCATCTAGTTGGGAGAGGTCAGGACGACCCCCTACAACAGAGTGATCCAGCCCCAAATGTCAACAGCGCTGATACTGAGAAACCCTAGTTTACAGAAATTTGGAAAGACAAATTACATCTTTTTAGCAAGGACATATAGCTTAAAAAAAAAAAAAAAGATTTAATTATAAAATCATGGATGGAAACAACCTAATTCTTTTGCCCCATTCCTGTTTCAAGGGCACCAATAATGCAAGAAAGGAGGACAAATAAGCTAAGCTGGAAAGCAAACTATTAACTGTATGGCTTCTTGTGGGATTTTATGGAAGAAGATATGAAATGCTCCTCTAGTTAGTGTCTTCTCCACTCTAGAGTGGAAATGGTCAATGAGAATTGGGTGCACTTGATGCTTTTTCACAGTGTTCCTCTTGCCTTTAGTGATAGATTCCAGCGCCCCAAGCGGGAAGCTGCTCATTCCTGTTCCGTGGAGTCCCAGGGCCCATGAGAAATGCTGAGAAACAACATGGGATCATACGGTATCCTGATGGCGCAGGAGAGGGCCTGTTGATCCTGGGGACAGAACAGTGATTTGGGGGTGGGGAGGTGAATTCCGTGAGATACTCGAAGAACAAGGCGAGACGGATGACAGCAACCACACCGGAGGCCACGGTTATGTGGGGGCGCCCTAGGGGCGCCCGGGAAGGGAAGTGCAACCATAGTATCTCCACTCCCTCCGCAGCTGCCGCAGAGTCAAGTCCCATTACAATTATTTCTACAAGTCACTTGTTACTTCTACATTTTAATTCCAAGGCAGGACAAACTCTTGCTTAGATACTCAGTAACAAGCTCTGGAGTCCCTCAGGCCTGGCCTGTGCTGAGCTCTGCTTTTGCCTCTCACCACCTGTAGGACCTCAGATAAGTAAAATTTCCCGGCCTCTGGTTCCTCCCCTGTAAAATGGGGATAACATTACCTGCTTCTTAAGGTCGATGATAGAAATAAATGAATAATCATGTAACACACTTAGCACAATGTGCTACACACAATAAGCACTTTATAAATGTTCTGTACGATCCGTTTCCGTTTAACATTTTTTTTTTAAGCACGGTACAAAAGAAAAGCTCAAAACTGGTCCAAGAATCCCACTATTCTTCACTTAACATTGAATTGGCTTTTCGGAAATGTAGAAGAATTATATTTTGATTTTCCTGAGGCAAAACAAGACAGGAAGTACAAAGGAGATGTTGCTGCTAATTACAGCAATCCTATGATTAAGAATCATACCTATGTTTGCTTAGAGCAGTGAGTAATTAATTTAGTTAAAAACACAATTTAACTCTTCTCCCACCAGTAGACGTTTAGGTTATTTTCCAGTTTGGGGTGTTTTTAAATAAAGCTAAGGTAACCAGCCTTGTATATAACACTTGTGCAAATTCCTGGCAATCTTCAATGGCTAGGCTCCTGGAAGAGAAATTGTTGAGTCAAAGGAGAGGAACTTGAAGGCTCTTGATACTTATTATCACACTGTTCTCCAGAAAAGATTGTACCAATTTACACTCCCACCAGCAGTGTGTGAACATGCCCTTTTCCCCCTTTGTCTATCAGATTTGTTGCAAATATTTATCCAGTTTGATGCTTGTAGATAATTGAGTCTGTAGATTTTTTTTTTCCTCCTTTGCAATTTCTTCCATTACTTACTTCTAAGTCTAGAAGCTAAGCCGTCCTCATCTCAAGACTAACATTCATCCACATTTTCTCTTAGCTTTTAAATACGTTTATCTTTTAAGTTTCAATACATTGTTACTTTATTTTTTTATGTGGTTTGAGGTAAGGATCCTCCAACTTTAGTTTTTTCCACTTAATCTCTTGGTTGTCCCAGGAGCACAAATAAAATCATTCTCCCTTCCCCTGTCTTTAGGATGCCATGTGTATCACAAACTAATTATCATATGATCAACAGGGAGCAGCTTGGCAAGTAAGTCCATCTTCAACACCAGTTCTCATCAGTTGGCAACAAATGGCTTCCTAAGGTAGAGGCTCCCCTCTGGGGCTGCCCCCAAATTCCATGGAGAAATGCCAGGACGCACTGACAGCTCTTGCAATCCCTGCCGCAGGAATCCTTGCCAACTGACCTGTCTACTCCTGCAAGACTGCATGCATCTTACTTGCTACAACTAGAGAGAAAGCTCTGTCAGGACAGGATTTTTTCCTGGCGCTCTCACTGCAGCATCCTCAAGGTTCTGGACTGGTGGCAGGCAGAGAGTGAAACGTGTTCAATAAATATCTGTCGAATGAAGGAAAGTTTAAAATTATTGTACTACTTTCCTCTCGGGAGTTTTCTGGGCCATGATCAGGGTTTGATTTTTTTCCCACAAGTAACCTTCAGAATCATTGTCAAGCTGCTGTCCCCTAAAAAAAAACTCCACTGAAAGTGCAAAATAAAATTACAATGCCATACCTCTAACCTTTACACAGGACAATTAAAAAAGTATTCGCAAAACACGGAGTAAATGCAATTCTCAAATAGGGGTGTTATGAGAGTAAACTGTTAAACCACTTTAGAATGCTGCTTGGCAGTATCTCCTCTAACAGAACATGCACGGAACCACAGACACAGCAATTTCAACCATAAGTAGGTCTCTAACAGAAATGTGTGTAGAGAAACGTGTATTTTTTTTTTACTAAAAAACATGCTTTAGCATTTTAATGTCCACAGTAGCATTACCTTCAATAGCAAAAAAATAACTCAAACGTCAACCAACAGTTATTGGAAAATAACTCAAACGTCAACCAACAGTAGGATGTATAAATGAACTACTGTGGTACAGTCACACTATGGAATACAACGCAGCAATGAGAATAAACTAACACCAACCACATAAAACAACGGGGATGAATCTTAACAACTAAAGCAAGAGTGAAAGAAATGAGGCACAAGAAAACACAGTGTTATGATTCCATTTCTATAAAGCTGAAAACCAGACAACTGGTTACCCTCAGGAGGGGTGGGTAATGACTGGAAGGGGCATCAGATGGCTTCTGGGGCGCTGGTTACATAGGTGTGTGCTCACTTTGTGAACATTAATGGAGCTGTACATTTATGATTTGTGCACCTGATTTATACCTCAATAGTTTACATTTTAAAAAAATCGAGATGTTTCCTGCCCCAGTTTTTAGAGGTGATAATGAAATAATTTTGTAAATGTAAGAACATATTAATCTGAACACGGAAAACACAGTTTTCTTCAGTCTGCAAAACCAGCTCATTACCAAGGCTGGGTGGTCTGCCTTGTGATTACAGTAAAAATGTCAAAGGCTGCTCCTTCGACTCATAGAGATGCATTCTTCGTAATATGAATATACTGACAAAGGTGCCCCGCTGCCCTTGCACCAGTGAAAGGAGGGGTCCCTGTCAAGGGAGTGGATCACACAGCTCCCACATCTTTAAAATGGTATTTAATCCTTCTTTGGGACTAGATTTTACAAGTGACCTGAAGCCTCTCTCTCCCTTACAATTTTTTGTAAGTTTTAATATGATTAAACATTGCAGGCTATATGCAAAAAAGCAGGTTCAAGAGTACTCATTACAATGTTGTTATATGAGCAAAGCAGAAAAGACAACTAAGCAACCAATAATAGGAAGTGGCTAAATTACTGTAAAAACAGCCATACACAGGAACAGCACACGACAATAAAAACACTGTAGAAATACATTCAATTATAGGAAAAGGTTTTCCTAACATATTAGGTGAAGAGAAAAACTGGATAAAACAGTATTTTTTCTCGTGTTAAGGAAAAGGTTTTCGGGGCGCCTGGATGGCTCAATCATTAAGCATCTGCCTTCGGCTCTGGTCATGGTCCTGGGGTCCTGGGACCGAGCCCTCCATCGGGCTCCCTGCTCCGCGGGGAGCCTGCTTCTCCCTCTCCCATTCCCCCTGCTTGTGTTCCCTCTCTCTCTCACTGTGTCTCTGTCAAATAAAGAAATAAAATCTTTAAAAAAAAAAAAAAGGAAAAAAGTTTTATATACATAGAGATAGGTATATAAAATATATATTTATATAGATATAGATTTTATCTATACAGCAGAATCACAAGTTACTATACATCTGCTTTTTAAATTTTTGCCAATGAATATGAACCATTTTCTCATTTTAAAAAAGTTTTCTTTTAAAAGAAATTAACTGTTTTTCCAATTTTGTTAACAAAAATTCTAAATACATATATGTTCTGTTGACAAAGAATAATTGTAAAAAATCCAAGTGTAATTCACTACGTATCATCATTACAAATTATCATAGGGCCTATTCCCCTTGTCTAGTCCTTTTACCCAGTTTTCCCATCTCCCACAGCTTACACTACAGGCATTCAGCTACTTCCACCTGTAAACAGTACACATCACCCCCTTTGCTCTCCCCTGAGCTAACGGTTTCCTTCTCGATTTTCTCCTTATTACTAGCACCTCCCTGACCCAGGCTATCTATCCAGGTGTCCTATTTATCCTCTGCACCCTCTCATCCACTGTACAAGATCATTTCCATCAAGCAGTCCTTCAAAATGTCTTAACCTTGCCCATTTTCCATTCCCCCTGCTGCCACAATCCTAATCAAGTCTTTAGGGCCACGCACCAGGATTATGCCCAAGGCTGCCTAACCCATGGCCCTGTCGCACCAACCAAATCTCAAACCCAACCTGCCAGTGTCACTGGATGACCCAGAAAACCCCAATGGCTTCCTACTGTTCAGCTGACGTGCCAACATCCCAATTACCTTTCTAATTTTGTCACCCATACCCTGTAAGGCTTGGCAGACTCCCTGGCACAGAGCTGAATTTAAATAAACATTTGAAGGAGCAAGAATCCTTCAACCTGGAGAGGCTGTGTGCTCCCGAACCCATCTCCCAGCCTTCCCTCGAATGTGGCCCTCTCCCCCGGAATTCCTCAGCTGCCCTCCTCCCTGACTCCCACTCACCCCAGGGCTCTCCCAGGTCCTTTGCAAGGAGCCTTCTCTGACCACTCCCCATCACAGGGACCGCTCCCTCCTCCCGTTTCCTGTGGCATTTGCTTTCACCACACTGGCAAGTAGGCACACCTAGATTCTTTTTCAATTACTGTGTGCCTATAAATCTGGCCTCCCGTATAAAAGCTGAACTCCTTGAAGACATGGTCACTGCTTATACCTCTTTTGTACATCCCACTCACCGCAAAGCTTCATGGTGTTTTATTTAAACTGTGAGCACTCAGTACACCTGCTCAAATTAACATGCAGTCAGGGAAAAAACATGTCAACACTTAGGTTAGAAACAAAACTGACCACACCTGGACTTCAACTTCCACACCCAGACAAAATGTTAGCTGCCACTTATCACCAGAAGAGGCTGCATCATAAAACTCAGCCGCCTCAGGCTAGGAATGCTAGACACCAGTCTAGCGCTGCCTACCACCCAAGTGCACTGCCCAAAAGCCTGTGCTCTGGGTCATCCCCACCTCGCACTCACAGCCCTTTGTTCCACACCTGCTGCTGCCTCTGCCCAGAACGGTCTTCCTCTGCCCCACAGGCCTCCTCTACCTTCTCCAGCTGGTAAGCACCTACTCACTGTCAAGCCCAGCTCCAACATCACCACCTCTCTGTAACTGCAATGACCCTTGTTAGCAAGATGTAATTAGCCCCACATCATCCTCCTACTAATTAACGCCATATAATGATTATCAACCATATCATGGCTTTTTTTTTTTTTACACTTACAGTGAGACAGGAAATGGCAGGAGCCATGATTTATGCATCTTTACATCCCCAACACTTAACACTGTACTTCACATACAGTAAGCAAATCCCCCCCCAAAAGAAGTGGAATTTATTTTAACTCTTCTCAAGGATAAAATAAGCCACAATTGGGCCCACCTCAGTCCTCCAGGACCCCTCTCACTTTCCTTCTCTCCGCCAGTTCCACTGATCTCTCTGATCTCCACAGTTGCCAACTCCCCTGCTATCAGCACATCTGGTCCAAAGGTCCACCTCCCCCACGAGCTACAGAAGAATCCTCTACTGGTATAACAGACAGAAGGTTGGGATATTTATCAAGAATAAAAGTCAGGAAAAAGTCATAGAAAATCAGCAAAGTAGTCAGGTTTACCGAGTGCTTACTGCTGATCCATACTTAATGGAAAAGCCCGGCCACAGTGGAGACGTGCCTGGCAGAGCCCCCGTGGGCCTCATCCCTATTCTCCTCCCACCACAACACCATCTGTGGCAGACAGTAAACAAGAGATCCCCCACATGCTGAGCCAAGGTGGATTTGTGTCGGTACTATACTGCCCCGGCCTGATGAGATCACCCAAACCTCTGCCAGATCCACAATCCCTTCCAGAAATTGCTGATCACTGTTTTCCGCATGGATGGTCCCCCCCTTCCTGGCCCCATCATCCCCTTGGACTCTAAGTCACTCTCCCACTCAAAAGCCACGTAGTCTTAGCCACCCCCAGAGAAGACAGCATTTCCCTATGTGCTCCCGAAGATTCCACCCCAGCCTTCAGGCTCACTGACACAGGAACCTCACAGGTGGCTCTCCAGAACTCTGCATGGAATTCCTACCCTCCCTGGGTCTACCCGACCAATCTGATTTGCCTCCAGTAGAGACTTGCCTCCTGTTGACAGGGAGCAGCTGGAAAAGACAGGTTGTTCCAAAGTAGGATCTCAACCTAACCAGCTGCCATGTGGCTCAAAAGGTGGACACAGCTTTTACCCGGGTGGAGCGTTTCTACTGGATCACGCCAAAAGACCAGTAGGTATCCAAGATGCACCATCTATTGAGACACGCAGAGTTGTTCCCATTTCCTGTCAGAAGGATGCCCACAACTATCGCTGGTTTACAAAACAGAAGTAAGAGAGGTCCTGAGTTCAAAGAACGATTATGACTTTGCCAGCTCAGGTTAATGAGCTTTTATCCATTTTTCTAGGGTCTCTGGCAACCCACTGCAAGTGGTCTCCTAGAATTATACTACGAGTTTTATATTATAGATCTTAAATACACACACTAAAAATGTCTACGGTTCCCTCATACACACCTCATCCCAATCACGGTGGGCCCCCAATGCAGAGCAACAGACACTAGTCCAGGTGCAAAACAACGCATTTCTATTTCCTGGACTTTCATGATCTAGAATCCCTTTCCACCTTAGAATCTCTATACTGTGTTGTCCTTTCAGCCTAAAACCAGATTTATAAAGAATTCTTTCTTACACATATTACAAATTATCCCTTTTCCTCCCCTCAAACCTACTCACATTTTTAACCATTTCCTTTTGAAGCCTCTGTCTCTCGTGTTTGAATTATTTAAATTTCAAGCACTTACTGAATCAGTTATCTAAGGCATATCAGGTGCTGGGAACTTTCATCCAAGTTTTTTTACTCAATCTTTACAAATTTTTATAACTCATGAAGATGTTCATACATGTACAAAGTAGAGAGACCAGGGTAAGAAACTCAATGCTCCATTTACCAATTTCAAAAATTATCACCACGCCAACCACACATTTTCCCTCCCCCACCAAAAGTGGATTTAAAAGCAAATCCCAGACATCATAATCTCATTTGTAAACACTTCAGTGTATATCTCTAAGAGAAAAAGACTCCTTATAGCTCCTGTAATTAGAATACCATCATCCAGACTAAAAAAATCAATCAATAACAATTCCTTGATAACAGATAATCCTGTCAGTATTCAAATTCTCCGATTTCTCAGTAGTTTTTAAAAATACCACATTTTCATGAGGAAAGTGATGCTCACAGAATTAGTAACTTTCCGGGCCATATATTTGGTGCACAGCAAATGTTAAGTGTCTCATTTGAAGTCTTGGTCCTCTCTACGTGTAGCATAGCTGCTTTTCCAGCACATTTAGAAAAGGCCCACATATATACTTTTTTTTTTTCCACATATATACTTTTTAAATGATCTTTACAAAAGCAGCCTTTCCTGAGTACTCTAATCCAACATCATGTGATTCCATGTTTGGGACCTGAGGTAGACTTTTATTAGAGTATCATTCATTCACTGCCCAATGTCACAAAGTAGGGGAAATATAAGAAACTAAGGAAATATATGGTATCTGTTGTGAACTGATATGTACTATTACTCATACTGGGCCTCCACCGTGAACCACAGTTGCAATAAAATGATGATGATGATGATGGTAACAATGATGGGCTTCTACCAACGAGAGCCAAGGACAGCCCTCTCTGGATGGATGAAGGATTACTGAAATGTAAACAAAGAGCTTTCAACTTTAGAAGAAAAAGCATGATCAAACCACACAGGTGAATACCGGAAACGTAAATGAGTTGTGAGACTAAATCCCCCAGTAACTCCCTTCCAGTACCTGACACCAAGTGAGAGAAAAGAAATTAAAATGTAAACCATACTGCCTTCACAAAAAAATCACCTGCAAGTTGATACATTTCAAAAAAAAAAAAAAAGACATAATTGTAGTAATCTCTTTCATAAGTCTTAAGTAAAGATACCTTTTGGGATTTTTTTTTTTTTTTTTACATATATAACAATGAAATAAAGAGCTGTTTGAAAATAATCCTTAAAAGTTCGAGAACACAAATCAAACAAGAAACAAAATAGATTCCTTTATACTGACCTTCAAAAATATTGTTCTAAGCTCAGCTGGATCTGCTCTCTTGGTTAAAACCACCTATAAATAAACATAAAAATGTTTATATTATTAGAACAAAGCTGAGAAATCAAGCTAGCAGACTGAAAGAAAATAAACTCCAGGTTAGAAATTAGTGGATTTCATTTTTGTACTTAAAGCACCAAATTTCCCCATTGCATAAACTACTCCCTGGATTTTAAATTAGACTCCTATGTGGCTTCTAGAATATAGCAGTCTGTGCAAGAAACCAGTAAAGCTATTAATATGTGGTATTAAATGTATATATATATATTTTTTTTTTCCAAAAAGTAAGTAGAAAAAAAAAAACTTGAAACAGATCTGTAACCACCCGGCATTTTTAAACTACACACCAGAGTGATCCATACTCTTCCAGAGGGGAGTATTAAATATTAAAGTACAACTTGTTTGTTAACTATGCAAGAGAACATAGTTCTTAAAGAAGTTGGTGAACAAGGCAAATCATATTAACAAGGGAATTACTTCCCACAGTTCTGCCAGGAACAGGCATGAATGCCTAGCTATCTGGGCATGCCAAGCAAGGTCTCCTTCTCTCCCTGACTTTTAAGAAGTCAGAAGTCTCCAAAGGTATGACTATTATTCTCCACATTCTAGAAATACAAGGGGCTATGGTTACCTTTCAAGAACAAAATTTGACAGATTAGCTCAGAATAGGTGTTGTGCTTAATCCAGCCCACAAAGTCCAAAAACATCAGTGGAGAAAAAGCAAGACAAACTTGAATATGGGTACACCGGGCCAACACAAAAGAGTCCTTATGTGGAACCAAACAGTGGGCTTATTCAGCGTCCCATCACCCAATCCTGTTGGCAAAAACCATCATAAGACTGAATTCTCACTAAGCACAGCGTCACCCCATGATACAGCCAAGGAGGGGTTCCCGGAACCACCCTAATACCGGAGCCATGTCGCTATCCACAGGGAGATTTATGCAAATTGTTCTAAATCCCTTCTGTGTGTTTGCAAAGGCTCTTCTGAGATCTTTGGACAATGGGTTCTCTGTCTCTAAATATGTAACTGCCTGAGCTTCTTGGCCTGCCGCTGTCAGGAATAATTTTATTAACTAATCACTGGAATGGGAGAGGTAGTTTTTCTGAAACGAGCTGGTTGGTCACCTTGTTTCCCAAAGCAAGACTGATAACTCCTTTAATTTCAGCTGAGTGCTTGTAACCCCTAATGCATTACCAAATCTTTTTAAAATTCTAAACTAGTTAGTATTCTTTGGAGAAATTATTCAATTAAGGAGGAAAAAAAAAGAATGCTAACCAACCTAAGACTGATGATAATGCCGATCTATAGGTTTCAGGAGAAGATTCCTTCCTTTCGGGTTTATAGTCTGAGAAAGGTAGGATAGGCCAAACACTATTGGAGAAGATGAAACAGCATAAAAACGCCTCCATCCTCTTAAGAGCATAGAAATTCCCCTCCAAGTTCCATATCTCACGACAGTCCTTAAGTAACATTTTTTGAGAAGGCAAATGGTGACCCTAGGTACTTAGTTGGGTTTCCTTTTAAAAGCAAAAGTAAGTTTCCACAAAGTGAACTATTCTTGCTCCATCCGAATACCACATCCTTTAAAATCTAATTAATTCACTATGCCGTGCACTTCATAAAGCTTTCCCTGGGCAATGCTATTTTAGAGTGACCTTCCCCTGCTCTAAATTCCCACAGCATTCTTCCATTGCTAATCCCCAACTGCACATCAGTGTTCCCCACCAGGACTGCACCTAAGAAACAAAGCTTTCACTCTAACTCTGCCAGGATCTAAGGCACAGGAGAACACAATCCATAAAGGGAGAAAATAACAAATATTAGAGCAGAGATCAATGAAATAGAGACTAAAAAGACAATAGGAAACATCAATGTAACTAAGAGCTGGTTCTTTGAAAAGATGAACAAAACTGACAAACCTTTAGCCAGATTCACCAAGTAAAAAAGATATAGGCGGTACAAATAAAATCGGAAATGAAGGGGGGGGGGCTTCAACAACTGGTACGACAGAAATACAAAAGAGACTACTATGAACAATTATACTAACAAATGTGACAACCTAGAAGAAATGAATAAATTTCTAGAAACACACAACTTACCAAGACTGAATCATAATGAAATAGAAAAATCTGAAGACACCAATTACTACTAAGGAGATTGGATCAGTAATTTAAAACCTCCCAAAAACCAAGTCTAGGACCAGATAGCTTCACTAGTGAACTCTACCAAACATTCAAAGAAAAATTAATACCAATCCTTCTCCAACTCTTGCAAAATATAGAAGAGGAAGAAACTCTTTCAAACTCATGAGTCCAGCATTAGCCTGATACCAAAACCAGACAAGGATGCCACAAGAAAAAAAAAATTACAGGCTAATATCCCTGATGAATATTTATGCAAAAGTCTTCAACAAATACTAGCAAACCAAATTCAACAATGTATTAAAAGGATCATATACCATGATCAAGTGAAACTTCTCCCAAGAAAATACACAAATGGCCAACAGATACATGAAAAGATGCTCAGTATCACTCATCATCAGGAAAATGCAAATCAAAACCACAATGAGATGTTACCTTACACCTGTTAGACTGGCTATTATTAAAAAGAGGAGAAAAAAAAAAGACAAGAAAATAACAAGTGTTGGCAAGAATGTAGAGAAAAGGAAACTGTACACTGCTGGTGAGAATGTCAATTGGTGCAGCCATTATGGAAAACAGTATGGAAGTTCCTTAAAAAATTAAAAATAGAACTATTCTACTTAGGGGTATTTATCTGAAGAAAATGAAAACACTAACTTGAAAAGATATATATGCACCCTCATGTTCACTGCAGCATTATTTACAATAGCCAAGACATAGCAACAACCTAAGTGTCCACTGATGGATGAATGGACAAAGAAATTGAGAGATAAATAGATATAAATAAATATAAAATGGAATATTATTCAGGCATAAGAAAGAACGAATCTTGCCATCTGCAACAACATGGATGGACCTCAAGGGCATATGCTAAGTGAAATAAATGACAGAGAAAGACAAGTACTGAATGATCTCTCATATATGGAATCTATATATCTATATAATAACAGATTTAGAGAAAAAAATAGATACAGAGAACAGATTGGTGGTTGCCAGAGGCAGGGGAGTGGGGTGGGAGAAATGGGTGAAGGGTGTATAAGTTTATTAAAAAATTTTGTTTAAAAAGCAGGAGTTATTCACCAATGTATGACCAACATCTAGTATAATGTCTGGCACATAGAGGCATTCAATAAATATTAGCTGAAGTACTGAATTCTATGAATTAATTTTTTAAAAAATCCATATAGTGACTCAACAAATCTAAGTCATGTCACCTAATGTGTAGAAAACATTTTATATTTTCAACGCGTGACTATTACCTCATTGGATCTTCACAGTAAAATCTGAGACCTGCAGAAAGCATAATATTGCACCCACTTTACAAAAGGAGAAACCAAGACTCAAAGAGGGTCAATTATTTCCCCAAAAGTCAGATCTGGCACCAATTTGTGCTTCCATTTCTAAGTGTTGTCTGAGCTGAGATCAGATTCCAAATCTTCCATCTCTTACTCTGTTGGTCTTTCCACTGAGCCACATTGTACACAGCTTCAAACTCACCATAACTTACATTAACCACTAATATAATACATGCCTAGAAATCAGGAATCTCCCAATTTCTTCTACCACCACCAGTTTGTAGTGTCCATCCAGTGCTGTGATTAAGAACATGGCTTTAGGGGGACACCTGGGTGGCTCAGTCGGTTACGTGTCATCTGAGTCTCGGTTTCGGCTCAGGTTATGATTTCAGGGTCCTGGAGCCTCGCGAGCCCTGCATCGGGCTCTGCACTGGGCGTGGAGTCTGCTTGGGATTCTCTCCCTCCTTCTCCCTTTGACCCTCCCCCACTTTCACTCTCTAAATAAATTTTTTTTAAATCTTAAAAACAAACAAAAAACAAAAAAACACATGGCTTTAATGTCAGGCCACCTGTGACTGGGGATCAGGTGTGACATCTAAACTAACTAGCTGTGTGACCTTGAGCCAGATCTCTGGCCTCTGCCTCACTTTCCTCACCCGTAAAATGAGAAGTCCTGGATGGCTGAAAGGGTGATAGGAGATGATAACATCAAATGCTTAGCACCACAAAAGACACAGAGTTAAAGCACTCGATAAATGAAATCTATTATTTGTATTATCTGTGGAGAGGTGTTTATATTCTACCATGCTTACTCTTTAAAAAGTCTAAGTGATGAGTAACCTGGCTCATAACTTGAGAAGGAAAAAATGAGGAGAGAAGGGAAAGGAACTCCTGGATCTTCAAAAACATTCAGCACACCACTAACCACAGACGTTTTCCTAACTCATTCCCCCAGCTATCTTAGCCCCAACCAATGCTACTTCTTAAAAACAGACCCAAAGTTCCAGATATACCGTGGAATTTCCCTGAGGCCCACGGAAATGTGTATTAGGTCCTGAAAACACTTAATGAAGCACAAAATAACTATGGTTCAATAGGGGACAAATTCAGAAGAAATGTTTACCAGTCTCTTGGCCTCCCCACTGCTGCATGACTAGTCAGAATTCCCAGTTCTACTTCTACCTCCCATTCTCACCTTCTTTTTTGGGTGTCATGTGCAGTGAAGGAATAACACTTACACAGCTTCTTTCAAGACAACATAAGTTAGAGATAGAAGTACCAGTGTTCTGAGGGTGTGCTGAGATGGATTCTACCTGGTGGCAAAAATCAATACCCAGGAAGTTTTAGGAGCTGGAAAAAGGGAACTACAGAAACATAGCCTCCCTTTTTAAGTCAACTCAAAACAGCTGCTCCGCACGCACACTCTGCATCACTTTAACAAGCCTTTATAAGATTCATCAAACCTGAGATTGTTTCCAGAAGTCTGAATTTCATTGTTATATTTTTCTTATACTAACAGAATGTAAATATTTACAGCTACTGTTCTTACAATCTAATTGCCTGATTTTATCATGC